CCCATGACACCATCCCAACACGTAGTTTTCCTGGGGTCCCGTATTTCCCAACGCTGATGTCTGCCCCCAGTTTGTGGTGAATGAAGTGGTGTTGGCTGACCAGTTATTCGGCATATCATCTCAGTGGTAGCATTAATACCTTCCCCATTCAGTGGTGTAATATTTTATGTGCAAAATGCATCTGAGACTCAGTAAGCCTTACTGGCCTTACTTCTGAGCCTTACTAAATCCTTACCAGGATTTGGGAAAAACAGCATTTGTAGAGAGGGTACCTCCTGCACTGAGCTGCTGGTGGAAAGAGGCAGATGAAGAACCACCCTCGAATCCATGAGCTCGAACCAGCTCCTCTCCAAAACAGCCCTTCTCTGCCATGTCCAGAAGGTGCTGAGCAAGAGTTGTCATCCAGATGCTGGAGATGCTCAACATGGATGCTCCTCAGATGAGCTGGAGCTCTGTGCAGCTCTGCTGCAAGGGGTCTAAGGTGCAAGAAGACAGATACGGCCACTAAGGCTGACCTCCTGAGCACATAGCTTACCTCTTCGTCCTGCAAGTTGGACTGAAGCTTGTCTTTCACAGCAACACCTCAACTGGGTTTAAGGACTCCAAGTGATAATAGTTCCACCGTCCTGGCTCAGAACCACTCTCCCTAATTACCCTTTCACCTAGGATAATTAAGCTTTCAAAGCTGCATATTTCTATTTCAGCCTCTCCTGAGGGATCTTCTTACCACTTCCCCAGCAGATATCTTTTTCGTACATAGGGGCCTGGAAACCCTGCTCATACCTGCTGTCCCCTCACCGGGCTGCATTTGTGAATGAATCATTCCTCTATGGCATGCACAGTTCATTGCACATAATTCAAGCGGAGCGGTCTTTAAACGGGAAGCGTGGAAGTGCCCCGTCGGACCACTGGATGTGGGGTGAGGAGGACCAAGCAGTCGGACACCCACCAGCACTTCACCCCATGGGCGCTGTGTCCCAGGGACACCGCGGGTTTGCTCTCCGGCAGCGTGGGGACGGAGGGCATGCAGGCACATTTGCCTTATACAATAAAAGAATCGCCAAAAGGCTCCCGCTCTGTCTTTGATAAAAAGGCAGCCAGAGAATTGCCCTCTCCCACGAGCCCCAGCGCGCAGCCTATGAGATAATATAGGCTGGCCTTTTCTTTGCAGCTGTATTGTTTTAGTGCTTGGAAAATAGCAGCAGGCTGAGCAATGAGTCATCTGTCACTAGATGGGGTTAAAGTAATTTCCGTTTTCTGTTACCATGGGGAAATCAACGTCCTAAGATTTGTCCTTTCTCCCACTCAAACATGTGGGAGTAGAAAGTCTGAAACCCAGCAGGGCTAAACAGGTTTTTTTTACTTTTTTTTTTATCCCCCTCCGGTTAACAATGTCATTCCCCTTGGATTGCAAAAAAAATCCAGAAGTAGAGTTTAAGTAAATATTTGACATTCATATAGAGGTTGCTTCATGTTATTACTTATAAGAGTCTCTGTTGCTTGTAAAGTTTTATGTGTACATTTGAGGGGGTTGTAAAGTTGATATTATACAAATAAAACAAACTTCAAAAGAAAGTAAATTAAAGTAGCAGCTCACCCAGCATTCACAATATAGTGAATAACTGAAACAGGAAGGAGGAAATTGCAGCAAATACCGTTTAAAAGCCTCGCTAATGTATAGCTTATATGAGTAGCAGCATAGCAACATCTAGTGTCGATCAGGGATATAGCTGAAAGTTATCGTCATACTTCATTAATGACGGTTGGATGAAATCTGCAGGCAGGGAACTGGCTTTTCCCAGACCACCACACCTCCACCCAGCCACAACCTCAGCTCCTTCTCCCCTGTGTTTCATAACACGTCATTTTTTCACGCTCCGTGTCACTGCCTGCGTTAGCTTTGCAGAAGTGCAGTCATCCGGCAATGCTCTCAGTCTGTCTAGCTGAAAATTATTGTGGTTATATTTAAGAGCCAGCTCAATAGATCTACAGGTTTAAATGCGATTCAGTGCGACGGTGGCCAAAACTTTGAGCATCTGAACTGAAATTAAGAAGCAATGCCTACCTGACAGCTGATCACGTTACCAACGGTTTCATAAACCCCAGGACCAATTAAACATTGCTGTCGAATGCGTAGCGTGCTCAGAATGCCTCTTTCCCTTAGAAAGGAGCAGGCAAGTGTAAGGCTGCAGTGCCGAGGCGGTATGTCAGGGTGTGCTCCCGCTCTCCCGCATCACCCCACAAATGCGGGGATTGCTGTGTTATGCACAGTTTAAGACCATCCATAGAAAAATTGATTGAGGCGCATTTCGAATCTATCACCATATCCAGGTAGACACTTCCTTTCATTTAAAAGACACCTGATGCTCAAAGTTCCTTGCTACTTAGCTCCTTTGAAGGTATACATTATGGATTAACATTAGTTTAGTTTTGATTAGTGAAGTTTAACTAAACAATTAGTTAAGCTTAGTTAAGTTTAACTAAATTAATCAATTTTAACTTAACGTTAGTTTGGTTTTTGAGTTTAGGTTTGATTATTTGTAATGACTTTTTTCAACTCTCGCAGTTTTTTTCATATAGGCAAGCCCTTGTATCAGGGCTCACTGGGGACTATTTAAATAAAATAATTCATCTCCTTGGATTACAGCTCCTATTACATGGGGTTTGCTTCATCTTCAGTAAAATAACATCCTTTGGGTTTTCTCAAACAAAACAAAATTCATGAATGGCTGCTCTCCAAATCCAGCTCTGTCTTGCAACACCCTGTGAACAGATTTTTTGCCACGTTTAAGTTTATTACATGATCTAATTAGCATGACTGTGTAGGTGCGTGGAACGCACTGGGGGAGAGGAAAAACACAAGTGTACAAAATGCTGTTATGTGATTTGCCATGGGGACGCACTTATTGAAGACAGAGACCTGGGTCACTCGCCAGATACTTTT